ACTGTGGAGAGATTAAGGACTAATAGTGAATTTTCTCATATATGAGATAGATTTAATTTAGCTTTCCTTCCCAAAACGTATACTCATCCGGGCTGGATCGCATATTCCGACTCGCCTTAGTCTTATCAGCACTCCCAATGGAAATCGGGTAATTCGGCGTATAATTTGTACATGCTACCACTAAATTGTCATATTCACACTATTGCCAATGCAGACGTGAATTTTTCATTTGTTACGATATTGTTTATTAGGCGAACTTGTATTTTGCCATTACAATTGACTACATTACTTAAATTCATTGTAAGTAGGTTTCAACTATCAGCCCGGTATCATCTTATGTGAACTCGTGTAACCAGGACTCAGTCGAAATTCACTTAATCTTGGAGGGGATGTATTATGATGCCAAGCATAACCCTACCCACTGGTGCTATAATTGGATTGCTGGCGAAGTTTCAGCGAACAAACCTTTATGAAGAAAAGAATTTTAAAATAAATTTTCATCAAGAAGGAACTGCAAATATGCGAATACAAGTTGGGTTTCGAGGATTATCTTGGTTCATAATTGTTAAGTTCACTTCCATTTAGAGTGAAAGTGTTTGGTGATGAGATTCAAAGACCAATTCAACCAGAAGACGACTGCGGATTCCTCTTGATCAGCTGCCGATTGGCTTTACTGGAACATTCATGTTGACGGTGTTTCCGAGGTAATCTCCTTCGATTCTGGTGAAAAGGTGCTAAGCTTTCGTCCGTCATATGACCAACATCATCAGAGCCAGGTATCATCGTCACAGCCAAATTCGAACTAACGAGTCAACAAAACTTACCGACAGATACCTAAAAAGCGGTATATATACTCTATATCTGGCCTCTTTGATGAGATATAAAGTGATTTGGTTAATTGGTTGTGACGATGATACCTTGCTCTAATGATGTTCGTCATATGACGGACTAAAGCTTAGCACCTTTTCACTGGAATAGAAGGGGGTTACCTTAGAACCAGCGTCGACATGAATGTTCCAGTGAAGCCAATCAACAGCTGGTAAATAGGAATCCGCCGTCGACCTACGAATCTCTTCACCCAACACTTTCTCTCGAAATGGAAGTAAGCTCAAAAACTGCAAATAAACTAAAAAATAGCACATTTTGGCCAAATCGTTTGAAGTTGTGTTTGGAGTACAACCGAACTTGTTCATAGCACATTCGGAAAAAAGAGGACAAGCCGACAGTGTCAAAAAATTCAAAAACTGCCAAATCTGGTTGCCTCCATTACTATTGTTGAATAAAGCTTTCAAAGGCATCGTAGGTCTCTAATTTCCTCATGAAAAAATTTTTCATCACATCGAACGACCTAGGGTGGTTAGAGTAAAGGGCAGGCACCATTTAGTCCATCTTGTACTTAAGAGCAAGCCTTATGGGAAACCGAGAGTGAACGAACACATGTGCCTAAGCGATCCATTTTCCATTGGATCAGTCACTACAGATTGTATACTTACAGTCGGAAAAGTGAGTTGTTTTGCTCTTAAGAATCGGGATTGTCTCTTTGACGATTTGTTGTATGTTGCTAAGACTGGCGATAGTCACTGACGATGCCGGCGAAACGTTTTCGAATGCACCACGTCCATGGTCCAACTTTGTAAATGATCATGCAGACAATGAACTCCGGATTAGGTGCGTTCCTCTAAGTCTTCCTACCAATATGACCATGTTGCAAAACCAAGGTCAAACAACTTCTAATCGGGTATAACGTTTGTGGAATCATGATAGTGGCGTTACACGTTTCGAGTTGATTTCATCCTGCAATAGGGAAAAGGGCGTGACTATGAAAATGGTCTCATAAGCTTATGCTAGTTGCTGAGCTACCCGCATTTTGGGATCGTACAGGCTCCATCTGTACACCCAACAGGGCCCAGACCTAGGAGATGCAAATGTACCGGCAAATATGCCGTTTCTATGCGTATATAAAAGCCCCCGTTTAATAAAATTGAACATCTTACTCAAATTCATATTCCCTACGTCAGGCCAGGGGATAGTTTGGTTGGGTGCAACATGACTAAATTGTATAGAATGACTTGCTGTTTTGGCCCCAATTGGAGATATCGTCCGCCCTATAATCATATTATGTAGTTGCACATCATGAAGGCATAGGAGGATAGAAGAGGTAAGCAGGGTTTAGAAAAGTTAGAGCCCGTAGTGTCCCTGGGATACAGATTTGACAAATGCTGGCCCCTCTGCGCTGAATCCTGAAGGTAGAGCGCAGGGGCCTAATTACTAAACTTGGGCATTAAACACTGCCCCTTTAATACACTACATTTGAGGCCAAATTGAGTGGGACAGCCTTCGCTTGTCTCCTTTGTTTGTAACCTTATCAACGAAGCCAAGTCTTTGGGGAAGAAAATAAAATAGATTTTCATACTGCTGTTCATTCTATTTCATTTGACAAGGTGGAGCAAAAGTGTTTGTGAGTTGGCCTTCCCGGGGGCCTTGCAGTTTTGACTGCAGACCTATTTGCAGACGGCCTTGGCAATCCAATGAATCCACGCTTAACTTGCGGCTATCATGTAAGAGATGGAATATTTTTCTATTTTGGTATATATATCATATAGAAAAGAGTCGGTCAGTCTTCTGGTAAGATCAGTCTATGATTCTCTTTATCATGCACTTTTACACGAGATAAAAGACTTCACAAAAATTAACGAAATTAAGTTTTGAAGACTCATGTCATGGGACCAAGCTCCAGTTTATTTATGTAGAGTGAACGGTGGTGTCAAAGCCGAAGACCATCATTTGCAAAATTTAAAAAGACAAAACGCAAAGAAATGTACAGTAAAATTTCGTGAATCAAGTAAGGGATTCTTCGAAACCTATTTCCTCTTTTCATCTAAGTGATAATTGGAGAAACCTTCTCAGTTATTGCTGTCAGTAGACCAACATCAGACGTTTCAAGGACATCATAATCGGAAAAGATTCTGTTTCTGATGCTGTAAGTAGACATTACGATTATCACAGATAAAAAAATTGAGTTGCGTAAGCGATGTCAAACTGTCCATATACAATGTTTGAAGACTGTGATCCGATTCCAGACCACACCATCGCGACGTACATAACTAAAATAAATTTGGATGAATATTTGATTTAGGACCATAGTTACCCTAAGTCATTGTTATCTAAATTTCCCACAATGGGATGAGTTAACCCTTCGGCGCTATTGGAGCTCACTTGGTGTGCCACAGCACGCATTTCTTAGGGTTTTGATTAATCCCTTGAGATATGATTGTTGTGAAGTCTTTCATTTCGTATGAAAGAGGTATGGAGAGGTTAGTAGGCCGATTTCATCAGAAGGCGATGGCTGGTTCCCGTCGTACCGCAGCCGTCTGGAGTTAATACGACGTTCGAATTGACGCTGTCCACGAGACATTCTCCATAGTTTCGGGCGAAAGCAGGCTGAGCCTTCGTTCGTTATGCGACAAATACCGTCAAAGCTGGGACTTATTCTTGTAAAAGCCTCGAGTGAATCTTAAGTAAATAGCATAACCTGTTCTTTCCTATATGATATATATATATATATACTAATAAGAGAAAAAATGTCTATATAGATGGTTATCGAAGGGTTTGGCTACAGGTGTTGTGTATAGACGTCACTACACACGCGCATATATATATATATATATATATATATATACGAATATAAGAGAATTATCCAAACCTTTCTATATGCATCTATGTGGAATTTTTTTCCATTTCGGTATATATATCATATAGGAAAAAGCCGGTCAGTCTTCTGGTGAGATCAGTCTACGAATCTCTTTATCATGCACTTTCACACGAAATGAAAGACTTCACAACAATTAACGAAATTAATTTTTGAAGACTTATGCCATGGGACCAAGCTCCAGTTTTTTTATGTAAAGTAAACGGCCATTCAGCCATAACATTATCTACTTCTTCCTTCTGCAAACATGTATGGTATGCATGAAGTAGCCAGCCCATCCATGGGATGCTGTGCTACTATGACAAAATTGGGTTATATAATGTTGTTAAGACAGCCTTTTACCTCCAGTTTTAGCTTTGTTGTTGACTAATTTTGATTAAAGGACCGATTAACGTACCCGCAGCAATCAATCTTTCATAAAAAGCAAACGTTTAAAGGAATTAATACTCCATTTAGTTTTTGATACTAAATGGCGACGATAATCAAGAAAATGTTTGTAGCTTAACCTGTAGTTTCCCACTCTGATGCAAATACCGTTGGGGGGTTGAAAAGCTCTAGACGAAGTTGAAACTATAGTTCAGTCAAGCCGGAGTGAGAATACCTTTTGGCTGGAAAGGCCAAGTGATAGCTAAAGACATCGTGAATGCCTGATTGTAGCCTTACCTCGCCTCACAGCCCAATTAACAACTCCAGCGAAATTCGAACCGTAGAATGTAACTAACCACAACATCGGCATCTTTTTCCGAAGTTATAGTCGCCTTGTTCATTTCGACTGAGAATTATTTAATCAAGTTGGACCGTAAAGAAGACTGATTTTCTATTGAATTGCTACGAGCATTGAATCCCTAAACGCACCCTTTCTAACAAACCAAGTGGGCCAGTGCTGTCCCGAATGGGCTTAGAACATACCACATTTAGCTGACCTTAATGATGTAATAAAGATCAGAATGCCACTTGCCCAGAATTTAAGTTGAATACTCCTTTAGACTCGGGTGTGCAGATGATGCCAGAGTGAAAGTGTGAATGTGTATATGAATGTTTGTATGATTGTTCTCTTTTCTTCCTCCCCTGCTACAAGTCATGCTTGTCCTGTGGGCAAGTGATTCTGGTGCCTGGAGTGGTTTTTTGGTCACTTATTCATGCGTGAAAGATATAGTCTTTAGTGCAAATCTATTGTTCTAGAGACTTCATTTCTTATAAAATTGCATACTGAAGAAATGTGTAGATTAGTACCATCAGAATACGACGGCTGAGTCTCGATGCTCTGAAGTCTATTGTCTGTAATACGACGCTAATACGGTGTTCTGGTTGGCACGGTCAACGAGACATTCTCCCTCGTTTCAGGAGAATATCCTGACTTAGCGTTAACCTGAAGCTTTTGCAAAAATGAGTTCCAGCTCTGAGGGTGGACATAGGCTTTGATACTGGCATATCTTTCATTTCGTTTGAGAAGGCGGCTCGAGGGGATTCGTAGATTGGCCTCATCGGATGCCGCAGGAGGGTTGCCTTGGACTTTTGTCTTTTGAATTGCGCGAAGAAGACCTCGGCTCAACATCTTGCGACCCCAATGACTCCGTGCTGAGCTTTCGTCCGTCCTGTGACGGACATCGGGAGAGCCAGAAACCATTATTTACGAAAGATCACTTCCTATACATCACTTTGCGATCTTAATTAGGCATTCCATGATTTGGTTGGCTGATGTATACTTCTCCTACATGCATGTAAGAGGGTCAAATTGATGCAAATGTGGTCACAACTTTTTTCTAGGTAAATAAACTGGAGTATGATTCATTATTCCTGGGTCTTGTTACAACTTCGTAGATGCGCATCCGCGTGTTAATGAAACAACCCCAAATTTTGTTGACAATTTTAGGTTCAAAAACAAGCTCCAGCTTAATTGAAAATATGAAGACTAAGATGTTGTGGCCTCTGTTATGGTCGCAGTATCCTTTCGATTTATGGAAGAAGCTCCAGTTTAGTCTAATCTTCTCTTACTCAGTGGCTCTTCATGTTTCCTTGCCTTCTCTCTCTAATTCTATTTAGCAGCCAGAGATGGTTCTTACTTAATTTCATACATTCATTGCTCTTATTCAGGATGTTGCATGTTTTATTAATTTCAATTAACTCCCTAATCTCACCAGAAGAGGACGGATGAATCCCGTGGTACTGCAGCCGTTTGACTTTTATACAAAGGTATAATCCAGAAAAGCGGAACTTTTTCCTTATATCTTGTCTTGACACTCAATTTCCTTAATAATTCGCGGATATGAGCTTTGTCCTTTTTTACTCGAAGTTAAACGGCTGTAGAACAACGGGATCAACCTTCATCTTTTGGTTTAATTCGCCTACATATCTCTTCATAGTATACTCTTACACGAAATTAAAGCCTCCACAACTATCTCATCTCAAGAGATCCATCTAAACTCAGCTACTCCTCGCATATAAGACGACAATCCAGTCGGGAGACTAGGCAAGCATTATGTTAGAACAAATGTGCAGGTGATGCACATTAAAATTAAATTAAATTAAAGATCGAATCAAGCCGACTCTGTAGCTCATCGTTTATCGAGTAAAAGTTGGGAAAAGACATGTAAATAATATGAAGAAAGACTGGGTTTCAAAGAACTCCTTAGTGATTTATTGGGACATTACTTTTGATTTTGAACGAGATTTAGTTAAAATGAATTTGTGAAGTGGTCTCATCGGAAGCCAAAGGAGAAATGCCTTGGAGGATTGAAGACCGTTGCGCGAAGAAGTTCTCGGCTCAACGTCCTGCAGTCTTGATGAAGCAGTGCTTAGCTTTCGTCGACGCTTGGTTTCTTGGTCTATTGTATTTGGTGTTTTTTTTCGGATTCATGCTCTGATGATGTCTGGTACAATACAGACGAAAGTTTAGCACAGGTTCATCAGAGTCGCATAACAGTGAGTCGAAGACTTCTTCGCACAATCCAACAGTCTTTACTCGGCCGCAATTCTGCTTCGGTTTCCGGTGAAACCAATTGGCGAATACCATCCAACCAACTTTTGCTTCGAAATGAAAGGTCATGTCATATGAAAACAATGCCAGAGAATGCCTGCCGAGTGTATCCGTTACATTCGTCAGGACAGCCCGACTATGTTGCAACGACAAAGTCAAGAAAACTCTGCACAGCAAAATGAAACTAAAACCAAATATTTTTATTAAACTTAATTTTTCCTCACATTCTTGGTTAAGCCGAGACCTTGAAGCATGCTTAATCGAAGGTATGAAGGTCATAATTGTCTGGTCTTTAGCCTCGCTCAAGTGATTTTACATCGTTTTCGCAACTTGGTTGTGTTGTCGGGGCAATAAGTGCACCTTGTTCGAAGCCGGCTGCCACATAGTCATGACAATTTTCAGAGTTATACCATAGCCTATAGCTCTGAGAATGTACCGAGCCCATGGTCAGGCGATGCAAGGTATCAGGACCACCGTGGCAGAGGAAACATGACAAGGTAAGTTCTTTGATGTCGGCCTGACAACACGACGAAGTTGCGAAAACCATGTCAAATCGCCTCTTAAAAAGAGCCGTAAACTTGTGTTCAGTACAAAAAAGCTCAATATCTATCTATCTACCTTGTAAATGTGCTAAATTTCCCTGTTCTATATTTACTAGGAGAGCATATTCAGTGTCGTCGTGTTTTAAGTTGTCGGTCAGATGACAAATCCAGATTCGACATGGATCCATCAGCCAAGACGAGGGACGGCCGAGTTGAAAAGATATCCAAAAAGTACCATAAAATGATTTTAGTTCAGTCTGTAGGGGGGCAACTTCTAGGAGCTTCTTCATCGCACATCTTCCCACCACGTGGAAAGGTCACGCAATCAGTATCACCAAGACTCCAGCCAAAGCTAATTTTTCTTGACTCTCTTAAGGCGTTGTCCAACCTGATTGTTGGGATAGCGAGACTCTCAAACCTCTGCCCTAAGGGCTGTAGATAAAGCGGGATCAAGTGCACACTGTCTGCACCTGTAACACACGGTTAACAAGAAAGTGGCAAGTCTAAGGAAAATTGCTGCATCACGCCTTTTCCACTAGCGCAGTGAACAACACAGTGTACTCCGTCACACTCACCCAGACGAATCTCTTGGCCAGACAAGTGTAATGTCAAACAGATTTGGTGTTTGGAGTGAATCTGCACATCTACAGCAGCTCATCGTCTACCGGCGAATCCACGAGGTGTAAAAAATTAAGCATATACATGTGGCAGACACTTTTCGACTGGGTACTAGGCTCACTTCTGCTTTGTAAGTAAACTCTTTGGTACATCCATGATAGGCGACGTGCACAGACACTTTGCTGTAGCATCTTACCATCTGCCCTATCGAATTACTTGTCTGCGCGATTTAATTTTTAAGGAATATTTGCATAAAAGGCCAAATAGAATAAAGTTTTAATCGCCTGTCTGCACAGTCCGAGTTTTCTAAGACCGGCATACTAGCATTCGTTCAGGCTATAGGGTATCCTTAATTACAAAGCGAGTTAGCAGATGTCATGTGTGTTTTTCAGCTGTTCACAAGAGTTGCCATATTCGAAGTCCTGTCATCTTTATGTAAAACATAAGGGAGAAGAGTACATTGATTTGATGCGTTAACTATCACCTAATATCGTCTACAAGAAAAGTTACCAAAATTGTTGCTCGATATAGCTTACGCTGATGGCAATTCTGTACTCTTCGATTGGAAAGTAAGGTAGTTCTACTCTGCTCTACTTTATAACAATGCGTCCTCTACCAGAAGGGCATGAGATTTTAGTTTTCTCACATCTCAATAATGAGAGGTGGATACAAGACAGTGTGTAGCTCACCTTTTAAATCAAGGTAAAGAGGCATGGTTGAAGAATAGTGGTTGGTACCAGCCAATTTTTTCGTTTACTTCATCACAAATAAATCAACTTGGTGATCTTATAACTAACTATGGAAGATAAAGATTTGTTAATTATGGGTAAATACATCAAACCCCAACGGACCCGAAATAATAACAATAAGTATTATGCCTTCATCACCATTATCAAAGTTATGAGTATTACTGCAAATCTTTGCTAGTGATAATATGTTATATCACATTAATTCAGAAAGACGGATTGAAGAGTATTGGTAGATGTTATCCTATTTTTACGTTTGATTTTCCACGAATTAATCAACTAAATAATTAAACCTTTAACACCAACATACTAATGATGAGATCTAACTCCGTTAAATAGAAGCTAATAAGTCTCACCTACACTAATCTGAAAATGCTAACAATAATTAGTAAATCATCAGCAATATTATCATTAAAAGTGACGACTGAGTTTACTCTCTGTAATATTTTCTTGAAGCTATCCGTGCTGGTTTCGTTCTTTTACTTGTATACATGAACGCGCATGCGAACCTGCTTCATGGATGATACATGCTATGAACTAACCAAATGGCCCCATCTTTTATGGACTTGAAATTAATAAGCAGCCGGTGAGTTTACTAGGCTTGCTAGCTTAAATTGGCTGTAGAAATGATACCCTGTCCTGATGATGTGCGCCAAATGAAAGACTAAGGTTCAGCACAAATTGACTGGAATCGGAGGAGAGGGCAGCGTCACCCTTGAGGAATCTGCCTTCATCTTCTGGTGAAAACGAACTTCGAATCTCTTTAACACAAATTTCCACTCAAAATGGAGGTGAGCTGATGAAAGGAAGTTGGGACCCTGAGACGGCGAAAATAAGATGCCTTATTTCAGAATGAACATAATTTAATACCTCCTATTAATGTAGGTGCAGTTGTTCGATCCGTCTAGAAGTTCCATGAATTCTGCATCTTAACTATGGTGATGATGCTTTTGCCAAACTTGTATATCATTCGAGCAACCATCTCATCAATCTTGCAATATCACGCTTTGCCTTGTGAGCTTCTTTATTAGTTGTATTCACCTTATTTCGTTAAAAGTGATAAAAGAATGTTAATTGAATTTTTTTGATACTTCTTCCCAAAAGATTTTCTTGTCGGGATTATATGCTACACTGTATGGGCTCGAGTCCAGCTGGGGGTGATGCTGAGACTTGGGGGAAGTCGAAACTGTGGTCCACTCCAACCTGGATGAGAATAGCTTTGAGTAGCAAGGTTATGCGAAATTCAATGTCTACTCATATCATTGATGGGAAATTCGACTACCAGTCCTTCATCACTTTAAGCAAATCAGGATGAACATATCTCATGTGTATGACCTACTGGCAATCTCTAAAAGCTACTTTTAAACGAAAAATAAGGAGCTCTTCTTCCACTCGCATACAGCCTATCAGTGAGACGAACATTCAATCTTCTTCACTGGCCCTTATGACACATTCCAGCTGATGTGATGTACCGGCCAAGCTCATTTATGCAATTATTACTCTTTTATAGGCTAACTAACAACTTTCGTTCTTCAATTGCGGCCTGCGCGTGTTGACATGGTTTGCAGTCAAGCCTATCTCGACATTATCTTTGCTTGCCTCCACCATAGACTTCTTTTATTTTGTAGGCCAAAAAGCTGTTCCCTGATTAAAGTATTATCCCTTCCCACAC